GAACTTCTTGACAAGGGTTTCATTCGGCCCAGTGTGTCGCCTTGGGGCAAGGATGGCACTATGAGGATGTGCATTGATTATAGGCAATTGAACAAGGTAACAATTAAGAACAAGTATCCCTTACCTCGCGTTGATGATTTAATCGACCAGCTTCAGGGAGCGAGGGTATTCTCAAAGATTGATCTCCGTTTGGGTTATCACCAATTGATGATCAGGGGTTCGGATATTCTTAAGACGGCCTTCAGGACCAGATATGGTCACTATGAGTTCCTGGTTATGTCTTTAGGACTGACCAATGCCCCAGCAACGTTCATGCATTTGATGAACAGCGTGTTCCGGCCTTATCTTGACTCATTTGTCATAGTTTTCATTGATGATATTCTGGTATATTCGCGCACTCAGGAGGAGCACGCGGAGCATTTGAGAGTTGTGTTGCAGAGATTGAGGGAGGAGAAGCTTTATGCAAAGTTCTCCAAGTATGAGTTTTGGCTCAGTTCAGTAGCATTCTTGGGACACGCGGTGTCCAGTGAGGGTATTCAGGTTGATCTAAAGAAGATAGAGGCGGTTCAGAGTTGGCCCAGACCGTCCTCAGCCACAGAGATTCGCAGCTTTCTTGGTTTGGCAGGCTATTATCGCCGGTTTGTTCAGGGATTCTTATCTATCGCATCGCCCTTGACCAAGTTGACTCGGAAGGGTGTTTCATTCGTATGGTCGGACGAGTGTGAGGAGAGCTTTCAGAAGCTCAAGACAGCCTTGACCACAACTCCAGTATTGGTTTTGCCATCAGCTTCAGGTTCATATACCGTGTATTGTGATGCTTCGAGAGTAGGGATTGGTTGTGTGTTGATGCAGGAGGGTAGAGTTATTGCTTATGCTTCTCGTCAGTTGAAGCCCCATGAGAAGAACTACCCCGTTCACAACTTGGAGTTGGCTGCCATAGTTCACGCGTTGAAGATTTGGAGGCATTATTTGTATGGTGTATCTTGTGAGGTGTTCACCGATCATCACAGTCTTGAGCATTTGTTCAAGCAAAAGGATCTTAATTTGAGGCAGCGGAGGTGGTTGGAGTTACTTAAGGATTATGACATCACTATATTGTACCATCCAGGAAAGGCCAATGTGGTGGCCGATGCTTTGAGCCGAAAGGCAGCGAGTATGGGGAGTTTGGCATATATTCCAGTTGGGGAGAGACCTCTTGCGGTTGATGTTCAGGCTTTGGCCAATGGGTTCGTGAGATTGGATAATTCAGAGCCCAGTCGGGTATTGGCTTGTGTGATTTCTCGGTCTTCCCTATATGAGCGCATCAGAGAGTGCCAGTATGATGATCCACACTTGCTTGTCCTTAGGGATAGAGTTCAGCATGATGATGCCAGAGATGTGACTATTGGAGATGATGGGGTGATGAGGATGCAGGGCCGGATTTGTGTGCCCAATGCGGATGGGCTTCGGGAGTTGATTCTAGAGGAGGCCCATAGCTCGCGATATTCTATCCATCTAGGAGCCGCGAAGATGTATCAGGATCTGAGACAGCGTTACTGGTTGAGGAAAATGAAGAAATATTTTGTGGGATTTGTAGCTCGGTGTCTCAATTGTAAGCAGGTGAAATATGAGCATCAGAGACCGGGTGGCTTGCTTCAGCGGATGGATATACCCGAGTGGAAGTGGGAGCGGATCACTATGGACTTAGTAGTTGGGCTTCCACGGACTTTGAAGAAATTCGATGCTATTTGGGTGATTGTGGATAGGCTGACTGATGTGCCGGAGAATTTCGGCATATTTCAATGCAAATTGCTTAGATTTTAGCTTGTTTTGAATGTAATTATCTCCTATACTTATGTATTTTTAGTGTTTTTTCAGTACATGAGGTTTAAGGACCTAAGAGCATGGAAATGAAAGCAAAAAGCCGCAAAAAGACAAGAAAAGAGCAAAATGCAGCACAAATCTGGAACTACAGTCCAAGATGCGATCGCAAATCCTACATGCGAGCCGCATAATGTGCAAAGGATCGCAAACCAAAACAGAATGTTGGCCAAAGTCCAGTGCAAGAAATGCGGTCTAGAATGCGATCGCATAACAGGTTTGCGGACCGTATAATGGACCGCAAACTCATGGAGAGAAATGCTGATGGTGGAAAATACGACGCAAAATGCGATCGCATATTTGGAATGCGGACCGCAAATCAACGATGCGACGACGGCCTGGAAACTAGGGTTCTGAAGTGCGATGGGCATGAAGAGAATGCGGACCACATGTCTGTTATGCTACAGATATGCGGTCGCATATTTAACCTGAAAGGGCATTTTTGTCCGTTTTTGTCCCAAATTTTGGCCCTCTATAAATAGATTTATTGGGGTTTTGTGGGCTCAGCTGGTCTGACTTTGAGACTACAATACAAGGCTTTAATATTCCTCTCTTTTGGAAGCTTTTGGGTTAAGAATCTTTCACTTTGTAAGCTTTATGGCATTTAATATTCTCTTGTTTTTGTATTTTAGTATGAGTAGCTAACTTTAAATACTAAGGTTGTGGACCCTAAATGGGTGTTATGTTAATGGGTGTTTAACATTGAATATATATATAATGGTTAGTTGATATTTATTTACTTCTCATTCTTCATTTATTGTTGGTGGTTGCAAACATTAACAAGTGCCATTAAATTCTTGCTTTGCTTGGGAAAGTGAGTTAGAATTTGGTAGAAGTAAATATCAAAGACTCAAGGATTTAAACCTTGTTTAATAGAATCACTTAGGAATAAGTGGGTTTTATTTGGCAAATATTGATTGTTATTAATTGCAACTCTTTTATATTTGGAAAAATCATAAAGAGGAAATACTACCCAACTATTGGAAAATATTAGGTAGTCATTTAGACATCATTTGCATATCAAAAGGACCTTCCATTAGAAATATATCATATTAACACCGATAACATTACACTTCATTAAAGGGGACACAACCTTGGTTTCTCTAATCAAATTATATACATTCTCAACATTACAATTAGTCATTACTTCAAACCAAAATCATTTCATACTCTTGTTACCATTAACTGAATAGAATTACGACTTTAGTCAAGTAACACACTATTTGAGTAACCTTTTCACTCCTATTCCCTGTGGGATTCGACCCCAACCTTGTTGAGTTATTATTTTTGACATCGACCGCCTTACACTATTTATTAAAGTGTAATTTGAGCGTATCAAATTTTGGCGCCGTTGCCGGGGAATACGATTTTGAAATTACTAATTAGTGTGTGCTTTACTTTACGTCTTATTCTATTCCATCACACTTCGCTTGTTTTGCATGGTGTTGATAGGAAGACATGTAAGACTACGAGGAAGAAGTGGATGAAAATCCTTTTGCGGACATAGATGAGTACATAGAGGATACAAATGTTATTGTACCTCCGGTTGTTGGTGCTTCAACTTTCAAAGTGGAACATGGTCTAATCCTAATGCTCAAAGCGGAGGGGTTTTTCAGGAATTCCACTAATGATGATCCAACACAAGACCTTAGGAACTTCTTGGGAGTATGTGTTATGCATAAGCTGAACAATGTCTCAGATGATGCCCTAAGGTTGAGGGTGTTCAAGTACTCACTAGCTGGAGACGCAAGGAGGTGGCTCCAAAACTTGCCACCAAATTCCATCCGTTCTTGGCCTGAACTTGTCCGAGCATTTTTAGCTAAATGGTTCCCGCAGAGCAAGAAATCTGAACTTCGGGATAAAATTTTCTTCTTCAAGCAACAGCTGGGGGAACATCTACATGAGGCATGGGATCGATTCAAATTATATTTGGTGAGGTCTCCCAATCATGGTTTTTCGGACTCTATTTTGTTGGAGAAATTTTACATGGGTTTGGATCCTATAAACCAATCTATAGCGAAAAATGCAGCTGACGGATCTTTTATGGACAAATCATTCGCAAGGGTCACACAAATACTTGACAAAATGGCAAAACATAATCAAACTTGGCACTCTGAGGATACCACAGGTGAAATTGCATATGGTTCGCCTTCCTTGACCAACCTGATTAAGGAGAATCAAGAGAGAGATCAAATAATCGCAGGGCTTGCCACAAATGTCAATGTGTTGACAAAAATGTTCACGGAAAGCCAAACAAAGAAGGTGAATATGGTGGAGGATGTGCAACCCACATCAAATGAAGATTTTGAGGAAGCAAACTACATCAACAACTCTCAAGGAGGGTATCAAAGGCAACAATACCAAGGTCAAGGACAATAAAATCAATGGAGGCCTAACCCGCAAGGGCAAGGCAACCAACAATGGCGAAATGACCAAAGTGGCTCAAATCAAGGAAATTAGAATAACAACAACAACTTCACAAATCAGAGTTCAAATCCTTATGTTCCCCCAAAGGGTCAATACTCAAATCAAGGTTCATCAAGTGATTCAAAGTTGGAAAGCATGCTTGAACGGGTATTACAAAATCAAGAGATGTCCGACACTTCTATGAGGAATATGACCGAACTTGTTGGCTCTTATACCGCATCCATTCAAAAATTAGAAATGGAAATGAGAGACCTCTCAAGGGAACAAAATCCAAAGCAAAAAGGGACACTTCCAAGTGACACAATTGCGAATCCAAAGGGTAGTGGGAGTGGTCCAACTTCTCACATCATGGCAATTACTACTCAGAGTGGGAAGGTACTACAAGGAGAGGGTGAACAAGTGATTGAAGTAGATGAGTCCGAACAAGGGGTTGAGGTTGAAGAGCCAAGTGTTGTCGAAGTTGAAAAGATTTCGGAAGATGTGCAAGTGCAAAAAGAGAACCAGGAAGAGGTAAAGGAAAAGGTAAAAGAGATACCAAAAACTCTTCCACCTATTCCTAGACCTCCTCCCCCATTCCCTCAAAGACTCGCGAGGAAGGTTGATGATAGCAAACTCAAAAAGTTCTACGACATTCTCAGGCAATTATATGTGAATATTCCATTTGTGGAAGCATTTCAAGAGATGCCTGGGTTTGCTAGATATTTGAAAATTTGATGACTAAGAAGAGAACCACCAAAAATGAAGTGGTAAATGTGACTCACCGGGTTAGTTCCATCATTGCAACATCCACCGTCCAAAAGAAAGAAGACCCGGGAGCCTTCACCATTCCTTGTACCATTGGAGCACATGATTTTGCAAGAGCCCTTTGTGATAATGGGGCTAGCATCAACTTGATGCCTCTTGCCATTTACAAGGGAGAAGGATTAGGTATGCCAAAGCCCACAAGTATGAGACTGCAAATGGCCGATCGTTCCATCAAACGAACGGTGGGAATTTTTGATGATGTACTTGTGAAGGTGGGAAAATTTCATTTACTCGCCGACTTCGTAATCCTTAATTGTGAGGTTGACAAAGAGATCCCTATCATTTTGGGGAGACCATTCCTTGCCACTGGAAGAGCACTAATGGATTCGGAACGGAATGAGATCAAATTCCGTGTGAATGATGAAGAGGTTACATTCCAAGCAAGCAAAGGTATGAAACTACCGCATGAGTATGAAAGCATCTCGGTGATCGATGTTGTTGATGAAGTAGAGGATGCGGTTGAAATGAAAATGGAAGAACAATGCCTCGGCGAGGCATTGGCGGCTATTTTGGTGAACTTTGATGGTGAAGATATGGAGGGGTATATGGAATCGGTAAATGCATTGGAGGGGCTTGGGTCCTACACTTATGCTCCGGCAAAGCTCTCTCTCGACTTGGAGAATAGAGCTACTCCACCCGCAAAGCCTTCCATCATCGAACCTCTGCAACTAGAGCTCAAACCACTTCCACCACACTTGAGGTATAAATTTCTTGGCTCAAATGATACTTTACCGGTAATAGTTTCTTCTTTGTTGAATGATGTGCAAGTAGAACAATTGTTGGAAGTCTTGAAGGAGCATAGGCAAGCCATCGGATGGACAATCGTGGACATCCGTGGGATTCCCGTGGGAATTTATGAGCACAAAATCCAATTGGAGAGTGAAACGAAACCAAGTGTGGAACATCAATGACGGTTGAACCCGTCAATGAAAGAGGTGGTAAAGAAATAAATCATCAAATGGTTGGATGCCGGGGTAGTCTACCCCATTGCCGATAGTTCTTGGGTGAGCCCGGTGCAATGTGTGCCGAAAAAGGGAGGCATGACCGTACTTGAAAATGAGAAAAATGAGCTCATCCCTACAAGAACGGTGACCGGTTGGAGGGTGTGTATGGATTATCGGAAGCTCAACAGTGCCACATGCAAAGACCATTTCCCTATGCCTTTTATTGATCAAATGCTTGATCGGCTAGCGGGAAGGTCATTCTATTGTTTCCTTGATGGATATTCCGGCTACAACCAAATCAACATAGCATTGGAGGATCAAGAGAAGACGACATTCACTTGCCCCTATGGAACTTTTGCCTTTAGCCGGATGCCATTTGGTTTATGCAACGCTCCGGCTACTTTTCAAAGATGCATGATGTCCATTTTCTCCGACATGGTAGAGGATTTTCTAGAAGTCTTCATGGACGACTTCTCGGTGGTAGGTGATTCTTTTGAGCATTGTCTTAACAATCTTAGACAAGTGCTTAAGAGATGTGAAGAGACCAACCTTGTGCTCAATTGGGAGAAATGTCACTTCATGGTGGATGAAGGCATTGTGTTGGGGCATAAAATTTCCAAACGTGGCATAGAGGTTGACCGGGCAAAGATCGAGATTATTTCTAAGCTTCCTCCACCTACTTCCGTTAAAGGTGTTCGAAGTTTCTTGGGGCATGCCGGGTTCTATAGGCGCTTCATCAAGGATTTTTCCAAGATTGCAAATCCTATGTGCAAACTCCTTGAGAAAGACGCCAAATTTGTGTTTGACGAGAAATGCCTCAAAGCCTTTGAGGAATTGAAGCAAAGGCTCACCACGACACCTATTATTGTCACACCCGATTGGTCTCTTCCTTTCGAGCTCATGTGTGACGCCAGTGGTGTAGCTATTGGAGCAATGCTTGGCCAACGTCACAACAAGGTTCTCCACCCGGTCTATTATGCAAGCAAGACACTCAATGGGCGCAAATGAATTACACGGTAACTGAGCAAGAACTTCTTGCCATTGTCTATGACTTTGAGAAGTTCCGGGCTTATTTGTTAGGATCCAAGGTGATAGTGTACACAGATCATGTCGCTCTTCGCTATCTCATGGCAAAGAAGGATGCAAAGCCTCGGTTGATTCGATGGGTCTTGTTGTTGCAAGAATTTGACTTCGAGGTCAAGGATCGCAAGGGAACTCAAAATCAAGTGGCGGATCATTTATCAAGGCTTGAAGAGGCAGGGAGACCAAAGGGAGATCTTGAAATCAACGATGCATTCCCGGATGAACACATATTGGCACTATCTAGCACTTTTGCTCCTTGGTATGCCGATATTGCTAACTATTTGGTTAGTGACCTTATTCCGGACGGATTGGAATCCTATCAAAAGAAGAAGTTCTTGAGAGACTGCCGGCAATACTATTGGGAGGAACCATTCTTGTTCCGTGTTTGTGCTGACAATATTATCAGAAGGTTCGTTCCAGAAGAAGAGATTCTGCCAATTCTAAAGGCATGCCATGACTCACCGGTTGGGGGTCATCATGGAAGAAATCGAACGGCGGCTAAGGTGCTTGAATGTGGTTACTATTGGCCGTCAATCTATCATTATGCTAATCAAATGGTCAAGGCTTGTGACCAATGTCAAAGGCAAGGATCAATCTCCAAGAGGCATGAAATGCCAATGCACTTTCTGATGGAGATAAAAATCTTCGACGTATGGGGAATTGATTTTATGGGTCCCTTTGTGAGTTATTGTGGGATGAAATATATCTTGGTAGCTCTGGACTATGTGTCCAAATGGGTTAAAGTAATTGCCTTACCAAACAACGAGGCAAGAAGTGTGACTGCATTCTTGAAGAAAAACATATTCACTCGGTTTGGCACTCCTAGGGTCATTCTTGGTGATGGTGGGTCTCATTTCTGTAACAAGGCTTTCACTGGGCTACTAGAGAAGTATGGTGTAAAGCACAAGGTGGCCACACCTTATCATCCCCAATCTAGTGGTCAAGTTGAGGTTTCCAACCGGGAGATCAAGAGCATTCTTGCAAAGATTGTTAATGCAAACAGGACCGACTGGTCAAGGAAGCTAGATGACGCATTGTGGGCATACCGTACGGCGTACAAAACTCCTATTGGTACCTCTCCTTATAGGTTAGTCTTCGGAAAAGCTTGTCATCTACCCGTGAAACTGGAGCACAAGGCCATGTGGGCTTTAAAGAGGTTGAACTTGGACTGGGCTGAAGCTGCAAATTTGAGGCTAACACAACTCAATAAAATGGAGGAATTCCGTTTCCATGCTTATGGAAGTGCAGCTGTGTACAAAGAAAGGATGAAGTTCGTCCATGACAAGAAGATCTTGAAAAGGGAGTTCAAGTCGGGTGACTTGGTTTTGCTCTATAACTCAAGGCTCAAATTGTTTCCGGGCAAGCTCAAATCAAAATGGTCCGGTCCATTCAAAGTGGTCAATGTCTCTCCTTTTGGAGCTGTGAAACTAGCATCGGAAGATGGGCTCCGTACATTCAAAGTCAATGGCCAATGAATCAAGCACTACTTGGGCACAGATGGAGAAAAACACTTAGTGGAATAGTTGGCTCTCCAAGATGGTCCATGCCCGACAAATGAGTGAAGCAAAAGAAAGGCCAACTTCGTCGTGCCGCGACGTTAAATCAAGTGCTTCATGGGAGGCAACCCATGTGTGGTAACACCCTTTGTTGTTCCTTAAATCTTTAATTTTTGATAGAGAAATTTAAAGTGTGTGTTAGAGTGCAGGGGATTCAAAAGATCATAACACTGGGAAGGATTGCATAAGAAAGAGAAGAAAAATCACCGTGTGAAGTTTGCTACACATATGCGGTCGCATTTTCGCTATGCGGACCGCATTTTGGTCGCAAACCAACACAGTGTGTTTGGCTAAAATTGATGAGAAAAATGCGACGAATTGGTGCACTTTGCGGACCGCATCTTCACTATGCGATCGCATAGTGCACCGCATTTTTGGCCCTTCAGCAACTCACTTGAACCCACCGCATAACACTTATGCGGTCGCGTAGTGTGTTATGCGGTGACTTACCCACCGCAAAATTGTCAGGTATGTCTTCGCATCCTTTCATCTCTCACACATTCAAAACTAAACAAGACAAAAAAAATCTAACAGAAGGAAACAAAGCAAAAAAGAACAAAAAAAAGAGGCAAACAATGATAGAAAAGGAAAGGGCAAAACGGCTAGTGACATCTAATAACGGACAAAACCACTTGAGAATTCATCTCCCTAGTGTGTTTGCTCATCTTCACTGGTATGTTTCCTTGCCCTAGTTTTTCATTTTCAATTCACATTTGTTTCTCCTGTGTTTCTTTTCTATTTTCTTTCTTTATTTTTTGATTGAAGTTTTGTGAGTAGTCTTTTGCCCATATTGTGATAATCTCTTGGGTAGGAAACATGTTTGGGGTGCTGGGTAGCAAGAATAGGACCGCCATTGTTGAGGGTAAAATTAATTCATTGGGGACGATGGACATTTGTGGCCCGCAAAATCAAAATGTGGTCCGCATTTTTGCCGCATAATTGAACCCTAGATTGGCTGAGTAAGATGATAAAATGCGGCGAGTTTGCGATCGCATAAGTGATATGCGGACCGCAGACTCACCGCATACTGACACAGTGTACCCAGTTTACAACATGCTTTCTGCGGCCATTTTGCGATCGCATTTCCTACTTTGCGGTGGAATGTGCGATCGCATTTTGGGATTTGGTTTGTGAACAAATCAGTTCTGCGATGAGTATACGGTCTGCATAGTGGTTATGCGATCGCATAACTTATCGCAGACTGTGACCCAGCATGGACTGTCAAGTTTGCGACAGGTTTGCGGTCCGCATAGTGGTTATGCGATCGCATAACCAGTCGCATCTTCAACTTTTTCTTGAATTTTTCTGTTCTTTTCACTGTTGCCCACAATGTTGCTCACAGTCCACTTTTGTGCAGATATGGCTCCCACTAAATACTTAGCCTCCGACAAGAAAAGGGCATCCTCCAGTCGTAAAGCGTCACAAGCAAAATGATCCCGAACGGACCCTAATGTTCCACATCCCTCCCAGTTTGATGAGGAGGAGATCTTGCCCTCAGTTGACCTACAAGCTGAGGCAAGAAGGAAAAGCGGAGACGACTTCCAACTCCAATTTAGGGTTGATGGGTCCAGGGCACTGTACAGAGAAGGGCTCACCAAACGGAAGATCCTGGCTGAGAAGCAATTGAGCTTGAACGGGTTACAAGAGCAGTACCCCCACATATGGGAGAACATAAAATAAAGAAAATGGGAGTGCTTCACTAAACCGCCTATTGATTATAATGAGACTCTTGTCCGTGAGT